GAAAATAAATTAAGAGACAGGATTTATACTCCTATCTTATACAACTAGAAGACCAGCTAAAATATTTGGAAGAAAGGACTAAAGACATTGGACCACAGAGATAGCAGGAGTGTGATCTTGGAGACGAGAAGCAAAGCACCCAACATTTGCACCAATTTACTGTCTAAAGGCTATTTGCAGGCTACAGTGCAAAGGTAGTAGGGGGCACCCAAACAAAGCCCAGCAGTGTTGCTAAATTGAGGAGACAAATTCTAGTGTTTATATTAGATTAGGGCAAAGTGACTATAACTTGAGAGGCACAGAACACAAGGATCCCTTTTAATTTTTCACTGAGTACTGATATGCATGTGAATAAGAAGAAACTACTCAAGTCTGAGAAAGAACAACCAGAAAGGAACAGGCAAAAAAAAAAAAAATTGCCCAGGATTGGGACCAGTACCTGTTCATGCTAGCCAGAAAGAAAAGGCTTAGTAATATGTGGAGCATTGGGTAGACTCCTCACTAGGGTATTGACTTACTAGTGGAGATCAATTCTCCTAAGAGCAAAGATTATTTTGGATCTAGCAGTGCTTGAATGCAAATTTCTGAAGGATTCAACTAATTCCAATTTTAAGAATAGAAAAAATAATCCTTGGAGGTTGCATGAGGCTTAGAATATTCCTGACCCCACCAGCCAGAGTATAAAGTGTACACAAAATCAAAATTTAACATTTAAAAGAATAAAAAAAATTTCCAGCAACCAAAAACTATAATCTATAGTGTTTAAGATCCAATCAGATTTACCAGGCATATATAAAGGCCACAAGCAAGAGAAAGGTCAGTTAATAAAAACAGATCCTAACATCCAGATAAGAATATTCAAGATGGCAGAAGAATATGTAAGCATAATGAAGAAAGGTATGAAGAATATAAAAAAGAAAAAAATTAAAGCTAGAGTTTGTGAGATAAAAACTATACACTCTATAGGATTAAAAGCATAATAGACACTGCAAAAGAAATGATTAGTGAATATGACACAGGGCAAAAGAAACTATCCAAAATGAAGTATAGAGAAAGATTAAACAGAAAGAGGAAAGAACAAAGAATCCATAACCCATGAGACATTATTAAATGGCCCAACATACATGTAATTGGGGATTCAGAAAAAGCAAATAGGAAAAACAAGTTGAAAAATAACGGCCCTCAAATTTCCAGGTATAAACCCACTGAATCAAGAATCTCAACCCCAAGTAGAATCTTTAAGAAAGCCATGCAAAGACATGTCATAAATATATTTCTGAGAACTACAAATAAAGAGACTGTATATTTTAAATCCAGGAAAATAACAACAGGCCCTTTACATATAAAGGAACAAAGTTGAGGACAACAGAAGACCTTTTGTCAGGAATAAGACAAGTCAGAAGTCAGTGAAGAGTATTGCAGAAAAAAACCCCATTAACCTAGAATTCTTAACTGAACTAAAACACATTTCAAAAAGGAAGTCAAATAAAAACGTTTAAAATGCAGTACTATGAGACCTGTGCAACAAGAAATATTAAAGGAAGTTCTTCAAGGAGAGAGAAAATGATACCAAATGGGAGATTTGGATCTACCCAAAGGAATATTACTAGGGATAAAGGGAGACATTTAATAATGGTAGAGGGATCAATTTATCATGAGACACAACAATCCTAAATGACTATGCACCTTAAAAAAGCTTCATGATATATATATATAAGAAAAATCTACAATTACAGTTGAGTCCAACATTCATCTCAATAATTTTAAAAGTAGACAGGAAAGCAGTAAAAACATAGAGGATTAAGCGACACTATCGATTAACTTGACCAAACTGACATTTATAAAATACTCTTTGTCAACAAAAGTAGGATGCATATTATTCTCAATAACTCATACAACATTCATCAAGGTAGATTATCCTGGGCCACAAGACAGAACTTTAATACATTTAAGAAGATTTAAATTATACAAAGCATGTTTTTTTACCCAGACAGAAACAAACTACAATTACTGAAAGATATATGGAAAATACATAAATATTTAACAAACAGTACACATAAAAACTCATGGGTCAAAAAAGAACTCAGAAGGAAAATTAGAAAATATTTTTAATTCAATTATGATAAAAACACAACATCTTAAAGTATGTGGCATGCAGTTAAAGCAGTATTTAAAGGGAAACTTATTGCACTAAATGCTCGTATTAGAAAAGTCTCAAGTCAGTGATCTAAGCTTCCATCTCAAAAAACTAGGAAAAGTGTAAATATACCCCAATAACACAGCAAATAAAGCACAAAATGGCAGAATTAGTAAAAAAGAAAGATAAGATCAAAAATCAGTGCAATAGAACACATTTATGCACACACACATTTAGAGCAAATCAATGAATCCAAAACTACTTCTTTGAGAAAATCACACTGATAAAGCACTATCCAGACTACCAAGAAAAAAGGAGAGAAGACAAAAATTACCAAGATCCAGAATGAAAGTGAAGGTGTCCCTACAGACCCTGTAGACATTAAAGGATAGTAAGGGAAGATTATGAACAAACCACTAAAGCTCACTCAAGAAGAAGTATCAACAAAATGAAAAGGCAGCCTATGGAAGGGAAGAAGATACTCATTTGCAAATGATATATCCAATAAGAGGTTAATACAAAGAACTCATACAACTTAATACCATAGACACCTGTTTAAAAAATGGGCAGAGGACCCAAATACACTTTAACAGACATACAGATAGCCAACAGATACACTCAAAGATGCTCAACGCCGCTTTAGAGAAACGCAAATCAAAACCGCACTGAGATAATACCCACAAGTTAGAATGGCTATTATCAAAGACAGTAAATAACAAGTGTTGACAAGGATATGGAGAAAAGGGAGCTTTTGTACAGTTAGTGAGAATGCAAACTGGTACTACCACTGTGGAAAACAGTATGGCAGTGCCTCGGAAAATTAAACATAAAACTGCTGTATGACCCAGCAGTCCCACTTCTGGGTATATATCCAAAGGAAATGGAAACAAGATAGTCAAAGAGATACCTGCACTCTCCTGTTCATTGCAGCATTATTCACAAAGCCAAAATATAGAAACAACCCAAGTGTCCATTGATGGATGAATGGATAATGTGGTGTGTGTGTGTGTGTGTATATATATATATAAAGTCATGATATAATGTGCACAGTGGCAACTATATAGTAATACTGTATTGCATATTTGAAAGTTCCTAGATTTTAAGAGTTCTTATCACAAGAAGAAAAAAAAATTCTGCAATTATGGATGACAGATGTTAACTGGACTTATTGTGACGGTCATTTCACTACAAAAACATCAATTCATTATATTTTACACCTGTGACTAACATAATGTATACACCTCAACTTAAAAAAAAGTGGTGTGCTCTCTCCAATGAATAAAGTCTCATGATATTTTTATATTTAATACAGTATCTTGCTACTATATTACTGTTTCTTATAAATTGCCACTTTGATGTCATTTCCTATTTAATAAGGATACAGCCATTGGTAGTATAAGGAATATCAGTCAGCATCCCAACTGGAAACAAGATGGCACAAATTAAATCAACCATATTTACAAACGGGTGGGCAGGATAGGGTAACCGAAGTCAGAAGCACCTTCTAAGGAAAAAAGGTAAGGTATGGGAGCTGTTATCACTCCTCAAAAGGAGACGCAGCCATATTGAAAGTATCCCTTGGTTGAAGGACAAAGTCAGCCTCTAATGGCTCAGGGAGGCAACCAGGGAAATAAAAACCTTTGCCTTCCTTTGAGGTTTCCACCCATCTTCCACTAGAGCTCACTGGCTTTACCCAACAGGATCTGGATAGCAAGGATGCCAACAGGTACCTGCCAGCCTTCCAACAGAGTGTGGATGTGGAGGGGCAAACAGATACACTGGGCACTTGGTACTTATTTTAATCAGAAGTATTCCTTTCTGTACTGACAATTTGAATGTATATCAGGACTGTGTTTACTGGTGACAGAAACTCAACTTGATACTTAAACAGAAAAGGAGAAACTAGAGGTAGGGCAGGAGAAGAGCTGATTTTAGGGGAAATAAATGCTGTTGGGGCACACACTTGAATCTCTGCACATTGGTTTCTTCTCTAACAAAATGAAGACCTGGTTTTGGAAGCACTGCAGTGGCATCTTTAGAGCAGTATAATCAGACAAGAAATGAGACTCATCTTCCAACTACATAAAGAAATGTAAATGAAAACTTGCATGAAAGAGTGGGAAGACTAATTTGAAGGATGTTAATTCTTACCAAATAAATCTATTATAGGCAAAATGTAATCCTGACCAAAATTTCACTTGAATTTTTTTGGAATATGAAAGTAAAACCTAAACTTTATCAAGAATTTGTCAGAATACAAAAATTTAAAAAAGGAAAAACAAAATAGCAAAGACAACTTGCCTATAAACTATTAAAATGCATTATCAAGTGATCAGTAATTAAGTATGTTATGTTGATGGAAGAATGATGTTTACTGGACAAAACAGATGTGTGTAGATGTGTGCATAACAAAGAACCCAAATCAATGGGTTGGGAATGGGTTAAACAATAAATGATACTGGGAAAATAAACTATATGGGAAAAATCATGCTAGACCCTTCAGTTGCATTTTATACCCAAATAACTTCCAATGAATTAAAGATAAATGTAAAAAAGAAAAACAGAAAACATAACACGTGAGTATTTAATGTTGGGATGCAAAGGACTTTTTAAGCATAAAAAATATTTGACATACCAACATACAATTTAAATGTAAAAAAATTACAAGCAAAATTAAAAGGCAAAGAGCACACTAGGAAAACATTCTTAAACTGAGTAACTGTATAAAAATATTTAATAAATTTTCACTAAATGATGCATTTGTTACTTCTCTGAAATTAGGGAAAAACAAAGCTAATAATTTTTTATAATAGTAAAAGGTAATACCATTTTCTTACTGGAAATAAATGCTTTTGACTGGCCATTCACAATTTAATAATTTATTGTTATTATAAATGTAAAACACACAGAAAGAAGGATCACATAATTTTCATTTTTAGAAAATTAAGTCCCTTACAGTAAAAAATGGCCGTTCTATTTTATATCCTTCACACATATTCTCTGTGAATAGCTTCATTCAAATCACTTAGGCTTCTCTGTACATTAAGATATGTGTATATATACTGTATGCAAATATGTTAACTGTAGTGGTTGGTCTAATTTTAAAAAAAGCCAACCTGTAATAATGTCATCAACCTGACAGATGATCAACCACAGAGGACGAGTTAAATAATGTTCTGAATTTAATAAATAATTGATTTAACTCTGCTTAAGAGTTATAACTGAGCACTTTTTTTCCAATTGAATAAAAAACCCAGAATATACTTTGCTTTAAATACCAGTTTTTTAAGAAACTGATGAAAAAATGTGAATAGTGGCTAAAATGATAAATGGGTACATTCAATGAGAACTTTTATTTCAGTTATCCACAAAACATTAGTGTAATACTTTATAAAAATATTGTTTTAGGCTACCATTATTCACTTAAAAAGGTGTTTGTGCTAGAAGGTTGTTTCTGCCAACTTTTTTTTTTTGGTAAGGGTTAAGTTCCACATTAAGATAACTGAAAACAAAAAGCTATTGAAAAAGAACTTCAAATGTACAAAGTTGTTTATTTTTCTTGGCAATTTAAAAAATACATGACCATTTAAACTGAATACACATTAAGTTAGTGTTTTATTTCCTTACTGTACAATTGCTATTATAAGGAACCCATTATTCAGTTAAAACCTAATACCATCAATTTTACCTGGCTTATTTTTCTCAACAGAATTAGTACAGAAACATATAATTTTGTTATCATTTTTTAAATGCTTAGAAAAATTATAATATCATAGTTCACATAAAACCCTTAAAAAATCTTATCTCACAGGTTGTAGATGTTAAGGGTAAATGACAATGGCAGTCTTCTTTTAGGAAGAGTAATTCAATACTAAGCAGGTTACGTAAACATAAGAAACCACCATGATTTTTAGTACCAGACTGTTGCCATTTGCATGAAGTTCATCTCTCACATCTTAAAATGGTCTCAATTTCAACATAGATACCACGGCACAAAGTTTTTAATCTAATGATTAAATCAGGTAAGTGATGGTAGTTAAAAATTGTAATTCTAAAATAAGGGACCAGATGTATTGCTTTATTTAAAGTGTGATGATAAAAAGAGAAAATTTTTAAATATAAATACCCAACTTTTATTTGTTGGATTCAGTTCCTTTACTGGACCAGTTAAACCTATAATGTTGTTCTTCTAATTCATACTTTGGAATTTCTTTTTGAGTTAGTCATAAAAATCAGTTTTATTTTGTATGTTTCACTTTACTTTAAATGGACAAAACTATACCCTCTTTCACCACTGTTACGATTCTGAGTTTTTCTCCCCAAATCAACTAAATTCTAAGAAGAAAAAAATGATTACCATTATGTATTTTTTAAAAGTGAATGTAGATTTAAACACAAATTTGAAAACTGGAGTTCTGAAAATGTTTTAAATGAAAGTTGTATCACTGGATTAAATGAGAAGCCTTAACTTAGGTATTTTTGAGGGTATAACACCCATTTAGTGTTTACGTTAAGGAAGATTAGCTTTATAATCATACCTTATTAACTCTTAAAATCCCAGAGAACAGTTAAGTGAGGAGCTTGGAGTGCCAGCAAAGTCTCTTGTCTTTCCTTAACATCGACACCAAGCATAATGTCCCATCCCTCTAGCTGCATAACTTTCACATTTTCTTTTTTCATATTTCTTTTAAATACATTTTCCTGTTAGTCTATATTCAGTAAGAGCAAAAGTGCATTCAAGTCCCTGATCTAGTGATATTTTATATTTGTGGCACCCATCACCATAAGTACACATTAGCAATCTCTCACAGTCCCAGTCTGTTGTTTCAAAAGGACTGCTTAAATGCTTGGTCTTATTTTTTCATGCTATCTAAAGATTAAAACATTTCCCCTTCAATTGGATATATTGCCTTAAAAAAATGCAATCTTATGACAGATTAACCCACTTAGTAAGTTACTTTCATTATGCTAAATCGAGCTATTCAGAAAACCATTAAAGTGAAAAATTTCTTCTACTTTCCAGTTCCATGAGTATGAGTATTAACAAGTGAATTATTCTTTCAAATTCCACTACTGTCATCTAATATTTAATCAATTTTAGAGTTGTTCATATCCCTTTTTGCTTCTGAGAGCCTGGCCCATTTCCATGCAAAAGGAGACTGTCCAATTTAGAAAAAACTTCTCAGAATAATGAATGCAAGAAATTTCTAAAAACTGGAATGGAATTGTTTGGTCCCATGAAATTCCTTAATTTTAGATTTTATTGTAGTATAACTGTTTTCATCTCCAAGTTTTGTCTATAATGAAAAATAATTTTCTCTAATCAAGTCTGAGTTTGGCGAATAAAACAAAGAAGTAATTTATAAAATAGTAGCCTGATGCTCTTCATTGTCATGCTATCAGTCTCACTGTCATCAATATCTTAACTATACTTTCTTTGGACCCTGAAATAAGTTGGAAAATTCATCATCGGTACTTGAGAGTTTAACACTTGGAGGAAAAAAAAAAGTGGTTTTGTGCAACCATATCTGGAATTCCAGTTTATCATTAAAAACATGCAGAGTGAAGATAATTATCTTCTTTTGATTCCTGTATGTCAGTGAGGAAGTCTACATAAGTTCTTTACATTTTGGCAGATTTGTGCATATAAAAGGCTATTTGGATTATAAGTTTTCTCCTGGCTGGTACTGTGGCTCTGTAGCAGTGAAGTAGTCTTCCAAGAAGGACTGAATATATTCAAATGTTGGTCTTTCATCAGGGTCTTTCTTCCAACAAAGATTCATCAATTCATGCAGAGATTCTGGACAACCCTGAGGGCAAGGCATCCTATATCCTCGTTCCACCTGTTCCAGCACTTCACGGTTTACCATGCCTAACACACAAGATTCAAACAGTCAAATACAGTGACTCTAAACACCAGTAGCAAAACAGAACAAGTCCCCTAGCCACTAACTGATTTTAGGTATAAATTAATTTAGTGAATGATTCTTTAAACAAAGGAAATAAATTTTAAATGTCAAAGTATATCAATAAGAGCTTAGAAAATGCTAATCTGTTTCAACATGTTCAGTTTTTTCATTCCATGGAAACTCTTCCTACTAACACTAATGCATTCAAAAGCCAACCCTATTTGATTAGTGAGAATTTAGGGTGCTACTTTAAGGTACTTATAACTTCTGATATTAACAGTTAACTATGACTAAACGTAGGTTAATGAAGAATAGCGGCAACACAGTGTCTGAAAGAACTTCCAAACAGGATTTCAGAGCAAAGAATTCTAGTCCTGGTTTTGCCAAATACATTAACTATAACTTTCTATCAATTCAATTTCCTGAAACAGTTCCCTTTCTTCAAGTTACTACAGTTTCTTGTATTCCTCTTTAATATAGCCCCCATCACCCATCAGAAACTCACCCTGTGTTACCACAGGCTAAGCATACCCTCAATTACTTGGAGGGTGGGAGTAGGGAGATGACCCAGAATATTTAAGATACGCTTATTATCTGAGAGAAGAGGAGATAAAAGACCCTTTGGGAAAATGCCCTAAGGGAGAAAGCTGAGGTGACTGTGAGGCAAGTCTCGTGTACTTGCCCTATCTCAAAGAGTGTGACTCTCACTTGCTGCTGTCCATCTAATGCCAAAATAAAGAGAGAGAGTGAGGGAGGGCAACAGAAGAGACAAGAGAAGGAATAAAGGCTTTCCCTTCCCTTACATTTTTAGCTCCCAATAAACTCCAGTTAAAGTCACTGATGGGATAACCAAGAGCCAACTCAGGGCAACCTTACCTGGATATGGCACTCTGCCCTTTGTTACCAGCTCTGTCTGCAGAATTCCAAATGACCATACATCAGACTTTATTGTAAATCGACCATATAGGGCAGCCTCAGGAGCTGTCCATTTGATTGGAAACTTTGCACCTATAACAATATTGAGAATCTTAAGTGAATTTTTTAAAAATGTTTTTATAAATATGGCATAAGCAGGTCTACTCTTTTGTCAATATCTGTTATATGTGTCATCAGTGTCAAAAATTCAAAAGTTTAAGATACATGGGAAAAAATTCATTAATATTTAATATTTGTATCAAATCACATTTCTTCCTGATAAGATATTCAATGACATAAAAAAGTATTAGAAATGCTAGTAGGAACAGAAAACCATTCAAGAAAATACAAGCAGAAACTCTAAGAAGCAATTAAGAACATGGATTAGTGGATCTTTAACCTTTAACTAAGTATAGTACCTAGTAGCTATAGCTGACGGTTGGTTGATGAGAGCATATTCCGTTGGGTTCTAATGTCTACTGGTTTTCAATCACAATCTCCTTTCTATTTTATGATATCTCTATAGGAAATTTTATTGTACTATTATTTTAAAAATTATTAATTTACTCAGATATTTAAGTGTATGCTTTTTATGCACAAAACACTACGCTAATCACTAGGGGTACATAAAAACATAGCCTTGGTGAAGCTTATATACTTAGTGGAAATAAGATTATAGGTGTCTTACATACTTGAAATTATGTATGTATGTATGTAGTGTTATAAAATAGCTTTGTTAAAAAAGTGGCAGCCAGATAATCCTTAGAGAATGGTAGGACGTGCATAGGTAAAGATTATACGTGAATAGGAAGATACTCCAGCTGGAGGGAAGAGCACAAACGTATGGAGGCTGACAAGAAAGCATGCTGAAGGCAAACTTTGTCAACCTGGCACTACTGGCATTTGGGGCTGAATAATCCTGTTTTGTGGGGGTTCGCTTGTACACTGTAGGATGTTTAACCATATCTGGACTCTACCCACTAGATGCCAGTAGCAGCCTCCCAGTTGTAACAACAGAACAGGTCTCAAGAAAATGCCAAATGTCCTGGGGAGGTCATATCAACCCTAATTGGGAACCTCTGGTTTAAGACATTAGTTCCCAATGGATTGTATACCAATGTGCTCACTGACAAAAAATCACAGTCTGATGAAAAAAGAAAAAAAAAAAATCACCTATCAATTCACACAGCTAAAATTATTAATTTATAGGTGTGTCCTTTATTATGAGATTATGTCCTTCCTACTTGTGTAGTGTTAAAATGCTCTTTCTTTATGAAATGATAGTAATAGTAAATAGCTGGAAAAAAAGAGTTTTTTGTTATGTCTACTCACTAAATCTTTATTAACCTTTATATTGGGGTTACCAGATTATATTGTTTTGTTTAAAATTCAGTCTCAGACATTAGTAAGATCTTTAACAGCAGAAATCATGTCCTCTTACATACATACAGTTATACCCTCATGCCTAGGACTCAAATTTTTGTTAAGGGTTAGCAGGACTGTAACTCTATAGGAGATACTGAATGCCAACACAACTTTTTTGTAGGCACAAAGGGTCACTGAAGGTTTTATACAGATTGAATAATCTATGTTACTTAACTGTATCTTACATAATCTCTGCCTGTCAAAGTTACAATCTTTCTTCAAAGCCCTGCTCTCGACCCATCACCTCTGTGTAGTCTTTCCTGTTCTGTCCACTTTCCCACAGTATTTTCCATGTACTTTTTAACATTAGTTATACAATAGCTTGCTTTATAGCTACTTTTATACAGTTCTACCTTGCCCATTAGAATGTAAGCTCTTATACTTATTAAGCATCTACTATGTTAGGTAATGTCAGGCACTATACATCTATTATTTCCTTAAAGTTCATAACTTTCTTGAAAAGTAAGTAATATACCAACTAGCCTTTGTAACTGAGGACACTGAGGCTCAAACAAAAAGGCCAGTAAGAAATGGAATTGAGATTCAAAAACCCATCCCCAAACCCATACAAACATTATGTTTGCTCATTGTGTTCTGAATGAGAGTACAGAGACACAGATACCAAATACAAGAATCAGCTTATGTTAATTTTGATAAGCTTCCTTCACCTTTACATTGTCAACCTTCCAAATGTTTTTAACAAAATTTGATATATAATACTTTTTGTAAATCTGATACACAAATTGTTTCCAAAGCCTTTATAAAACTGTATTCAATTTCTTTTTTTTAAATAATAGATTTTATTTTTTAAGAACAGCTTTAGATTTACAAAAATACTGAGTACATAGAGTTCCCAAATACCCTCTCACTCACAGCTTCCCTATATTAGTATCTTGGATTAATGTACTATATTTGTTAAATTAGTGAAGCAATATTGATACATTATTAACTAAGTCTGTAGTTTATATTAAGGTTCACTCTTTGTATTGTCCGTCTATGCCTTTTGACAAATACATAATATCATGTAATCACCCTTACAGTATCATACTGAATAGTTTCTCTGCCTTAAAAATCCTCTGTGTTCACTTATTCTTCTGTTGAGCACTGGGCAACCATTTACCTTTTAACTGTCTCTGTAGTTTTGCCTTTTCCAGAATGTCAGATAGATGGAATAATGTAGCCTTTCAGACTAGCTTCTTTTGCTTGGCAATATACGCATTTAAATTTCTTCATGTCTCTTCATGGCTTGATAACTCATTTGTTTTATTGCTGAATAATAGTCCATTGTGTGTATGCACCACAGTTTATTTATCCATTTAAGGCAGTGTGGTTGCTTCCAAAACTATATGCTATTTCTTAGTTGTATCAGCTTCAAATGCACCTTTTCTGGTCCTTTGTGTAGTAAAATGTGGATGGTCTACACTAAGAACTAAAAATAGGAATTTAAAATGTTTCCTATTGGCATGCCAAAAGAAGTGTAAGAGGTGTGTACTGCTTGTTATATTTGTAATGCAAAGGACACCCAAATCAAGTTCTTCCTTTGGGGAAGTAACTACCAGAAAGCCATGGTATCATGTATTGTGTATAATCTTATGAATAAAATTAATGTTTATGACTCTTCTAAGCAGCCCTAGAACTATGTAATTACTGTAAATTACTGAATACTTGAAAAATGTTAAGAAAATCCACTGAACAAACATTTATCAGAAAGTAATTTTACCTTGTCTTGCCGTATATTCATTGTCTTCAATTAACCTTGCTAATCCAAAATCTGCTATTTTGCATACAAGATTTTCTCCTACAAGAATATTAGCAGCCCGAAGATCTCGGTGAATATAATTCATTCTTTCAATATATGCCATACCATCAGCAATCTTGGAAAGAAAAAAAAGACGTATGATACAAGGGGAAGGGGAGAAAGGACACTGTTGGTTACTGTTAAGTCAGATCACTGAAAAATTACATATCTCAAAACGAGATGATGGTAACAGGAGAGAATTGAGCAAGTAAACAGGAAAAATAGAAAACCCTGTAATGGAGGAGGAAGAGGGAACAGAAGGAGAAAGGAAGGTGGGATAAAAGAGAGGGCGGAAAGAACAGGGAGAGGAGAAGGGAAAAAAGATGGTGGAGAAAAGAGACGAGGAGAAACAACAGAGATGTATGGAATGCTTCCCAAGAGAGTAGTCTTAGAACCAACATGTCAGCCAAAGCCAATAAAAGACCCCTTGACCACCTACCCTATGTCTAAACAGAATGTTTAAGTTTTCACTTATATTTAGGAATAAAAATCCAGAGCAGTAAAATCATCACATTTTTGACTATACATCGCTATCTTAATTCTTGTTTTGGATCATATTTAAAAAAATACAGCATGTACTTCACATTTCCAGTGTTTTTCTTTGCAATAGCAATCATTGTCTTAAAAGTTATCTATTGAAACAGAAATACATATAGATTTTGTGGATGTTTCTAAGAGGCTATATGATACAGGACAGCAGTGTACTGGGAATTACATGCCTGGTTCTAATCAGTTATGTGATTAGTTACTTCTGATCTTCAGATATTATCTGTAACATAAGAAGATGGGACTGGATCATCTATAATGTTCCTTTCAGCTCTAAAATTCCATTATTTCACAATATAAACAATAGCATTATACTAAGATTATTTTACATTTTTAATGTACATTTTCAATTCAAACTGACACATGTATAAATAGGTAAGTACCTGAGCAGCCATATCAACCAGTTGTGGGAGCTTCAAATACTTTCCATCTCCCTCCTTCAGGAAATCTAACAAACTGCCTATAAGAGACAGCAGGACATTCATGGAAAAATAAACAAATCTTAAATTAGGATTGAAACACTGTCTTACATCCAAAAAAATCACCACTTCACAATACTTAAGTTTTTCATTCTTTGATATTTTTGGGGGGGCTTTGGAATTTTGAAATAATGATTCTAAAAAAAGTCCCTAAATAGAAAATTTTAAAACTTCTGACAACATGAAAAAAAGGAAAACGCAACAGTCTCACCAAATTATGGGCATTCCTTCCTCGCTCTGATCAAGATCAGCAAAGTGGTAAGGAAGTGAAGACTGGTAGGTCCCATTACTAGAGTTTGGGTTTCTAACAAGTTTCCAGGTGATACTAATGCTCACACCATCCAATACACTAGAAACTCTTGCACATGTGCAAAAGGAGGCAAGTAGAAGGAATTCACTGCAGTACCTTGTGTACTAGTGACAAACTAAAAGCAACCTAAATGTTTACTGGGAAAGGATAAATAAAAAATGGTATACTCACACAGTATCTCACTCAACAGTTAATGGTATATAAATTAGATTTTCCCTTTTCCATATAAATAAATCTCAAGAACAAAATGTTGAATGAAAATAAAGCTAGTTAGGATTGGATTAGGAAGGAATAGGAAGTCAAGGCAGAAACCTCCTCCCAAACACACATAAAAGAAGAAAATACAGCAAATACAACTAAACCTGAAAATGACCTGAAGACTTCAGAACAGACCACCCATACCTGAGGAAGAAGAGAAGACCACACAGAAGAGGGTAAAGTGGCAAAGCTGAGATGAAGCAAGACCCAAACCCTTCCCTGACCCCAGCCTACACGTGGGAGAAACAGGAATGGAGCAGGGAGGAATTAGGAGTCCAGGAGCACTGCACACCTGGCCCTGGATATCTGCCCCAGGATCACAGGCCCACATTACATTGGACTCTGGCCAGAAAGCATAGCAGAGACATCTAATACAAAGGAAGAAACACAGAAACCCTGACAAAATGAGTAGGCAGAGGAATATGATCCAAACAAAACTACAAGACAGAACCCCAGAAAGAAAGCTAAATGAAACAGAGATCATCAATCTTTTTGATAAAGATTTCAAAATAAGAGTCATAAACATGCTCACGGATTTACAGAAAAGTATTCAAGATCTCAGGGAAGACTTCAACAGAGAGAGAAAACCTGAAAAAGAACCATTTAGAGCTGAAGAATACAGTATCTGAAATGATATATACAATGAAGGGATTTAAGAATAGACTAGAAAATGTAGAGGAGATGGTAAATGAAATAGAAATTAGAGAACAGGAAAACAAAGAAGCTGAGGAAGAGAGAAAAAAGGATCTCTAGGAATGAAAGAACGGTAAGAGAGCAATCCAAACAAAGCAATATTCACATAACAGGGGTATCAGAAGTAGAAGAGAAGGGCAAAGAGACAGAAAGTCTCTTTAAGGAAATGTTGAAAATGTCCCCAGTCTGGGAAAGGAAATAAACATTCACATCATGAAAGCACAGAGATATGCTAATAAAAAGAACCCCAGGAAGACAACAGCAAGACACCCAATAATTAAATGGCAAAGATCAAGGATAAGGAGAGAGTGTTAAATGCAGCCAGAGAAAAAAGATTACCTGTAAAAGAAACCCCATCAGGGTATGAATAGACTTAACAGAAACTCTTCAGGCCAGAAGGGAATGGCATGATATATTTAATGTACTGAAACAGAAGGACCTACAACCAAGAATCATCTACCCAGCAAGACTCTCATTTAAATTTGAAGCAGGTATTAAACAATTTCCAGATAAACAAAAGTTGAAGGAATTCACCACCACTAAGCCAGCTCTACAGGATATGCTAAAGGAACTGCTGTAGATGGAAATGATCCTAAGGCTAACTAGTGTTCACCAGTGAAAATAAACCCACAGTAAAGGTAGTAAACCAACTAATTACCAAGCAACTATGAAATTAGAACAAAAGAAGCAAAATCAAAAATCAAAATACATATACACAAAAAGAGCAGATTATGACTTCCAAAATGAAAAATGTGGAGGAGGAAGAAGGAAAAAAAAGTACCTTTAGATTGTATTTGAATTAGAGAAATAAGCAATTTAAGATAGATTACTACATACTAAGGAAGCTATCCTTGAACCTTTGGTAACCATAAAAGTAAAGTCTACAATAAATACACACACACATACACACAAATGAACTAATTAAAAAAAGATAATTTCAACACAAAAGAAAACCATCAATAATAAGAGAATGAGAGGAAGAAAGGAACAGAGAGGAGATATAAAAAAAACAGCCAGAAAACTATCAATAATGTGGCAATAAGTATATATCTATCAATAATCACCTTAAATGTCAATGGACTGAATGCACCAATCAAAAGACAGAGTGGCAGAATGGATAAGGAAACAAGACCCATCTATATGCTGAAAGATTCCTTTCAGACCCAAAGACATACACAGACTGAAAGTGAAGGGATGAAAAAATAAAGTCCTTGCAATGTAATGGGAAAAAAAGGAGTAGCAGCGCTTATATCAGACAAAATTGTTTTCAAAACAAAATAACAAAAGATAAAGAAGGACCTTACATAATGACAAAGGGATCAGTCCAACAAGAGGATATAACTATTATAAATGTGCACCCAACACAGGAGCACCTAAATATGTAAAACAAATACTAACAGAATTAAAGGGGAAAATGCAGTGCAACACAATCATTTTAGGAGAGTTTAACACACCACTCACATCAATAGGCAGATAACCAGATAGAAAATAAGGAAACAGAGGCACTGAACACTACATTAAATCAAATGGATTTAACAGGTATCTACAGAACACCACCCAAAAGTGGCAGGATACAGATTCTTCTCAAGTGTATATAAAACGTTCTCCAGAATAGATCACATACTAAGCCATGAGAAGGGCCTCAATAAATTCAAAGAGATTGAAATTGTACCAAGCAGCTTCTCAGATCACAATGAAATGAAACCAGAAATAAATTACACAAAGAAAACAAGAAGATCTACAAATACATAGAGGCTAAACAACATGCTTGTAAATAATCAACGGATCAATGAACAAATTAAAACAGAAATCAAGCAATATACGGAGACAAATGAAAACAAAAACACAAAAGCCCAAAATCTGTGGGAGGCAGCAAAGGACATGCTAAGAGGGAAAGTATATAGCAATATAGGCTTACCTCAAGAACCAAGAACAATCCCAAATAAGCAGTCTAAAAATCACAATTATTTCAGAAAATACAAAGAGAAGAAATGAAGTCCAAAGTCATTAGAAGGAAGGGCATAATAAATATCAGAGCAGAAATAAATAAAATAAAAAAGAATAAAACAATAGAAAAAAAATCAATGAAAGTAGGAGCTGGTTCTTTGAGAAAATAAACCTAATAGATAAACCCCTACCCTAGCCAGACTTGTCAAGAAAAAGAGAGAATGTACACACATAAACAGAATCAGAAACAAAGAAGGAATAATCACAACGGATACCACATAAATACGAAGAATTATTAGAGAATACTATGAAAAATTATACGCTGATAAACTGAAAACTTAGAAGAAACAGACAACTTCCTAGAAAAACACAACCTTCCAGGACTGACCGAGAAAGAAACGGAAAATCTGAATAGACTAATTACCAGTAATGAAATCAAACTGGTAATCAAAAAACTTCCCCCCAAAAAACACCAGGTCCACACAGCTTCACAGCTGACTGCTACCAACACTTAAAGAGCTAATACCCATCCTTCTTAAAGTATTCCAAAGAGTAGAAGAGCAGGGAGTATTTCCAAACTCATTCTATGAGGCCAGCATCACTCTAATACCTAAACCAGACAAAGACAATACAAAAAGAGAAAATTAAAGACCAATATCCCTGATGAACATAGATGCAAAAATACTCAACAAAGTATTAGAAAACTGAATTCAAAAATACATCAAAAATATCACCCATCATGACCAAGTGGAATTTATTCCAGGGATGCAAGGACCATACAATATTCATAAATCAATCAACATCATACACCACATTAACAAAGGATAAAAACCACATGATCATCTCAATAGATGCTGAAAAAGCATTTAACACAATTCAACTTCCATTCATGATAAAAACTCTCAAGAAAAGATATAGCGGGTACATAACTCAATATAATAAAGGCCATATAGGACAACCCACAGCCAACATCATACTTAATAGCAAAAAGCTGAAAAGTTTTCCTCTAAGATTGAGAATAAGACAAGGATGCCCAGTCTTACCACTTCTATTCAACATAGTACTGGAGGTCCTAGCCATGGTAACCAGGCAACACAAAGAGATAAAAGGCATCCAAATTGATAAGAAGAAGTTAAACTCTATTTGCAGATGACATGATATTATACATCAAAAACCCTTAAGAATCCACCAAAAAACTACCAGAATAACCAAATTCAGCAAGTTGCAGGATACAAAATTAATACACAAATCTGTTGCATTCCTATATACTAACAAACTAGCAGAAAAAGAAATCAGGAAAACAACTATATTTACAATTGCATCAAAAAGAATAAAATACCTAGGAATAAACCTAACCAAGGAGGTGAAAGACCTATACTCTGAAAACTACAAGACCCTCATGAGAGAAATTAAAGAAGATACCAATAAATGGAAATACATTCTGTGCTCATGCATAGGAAGAATTAATATTGTCAAAATGGACATCCTGCCTAAAACAATTTACAGATTCAATGCAATCCCTATCAAAATACCAACAGCATTATTCAATGAACTAGAACAAATAGTTCTAAAATTCATATGGAACCACAGAAGACATGGAATGGTCAAAGAAGCCCTGAGAAGGAAGAACAAAGCTGGGCAGATTACGCTCCTTAACTTCAAGCTCTACTACAAAGCCACAGTAATCAAAACAATTTGGTACTGGCAGAAGAACAGACTCATAGATCAAGGGAACAGAATAGAGAGCCCAGATAATAAACCCAGGCATCTGTG